TATATATATATATATATATCAACCCTTCAACTATATGATTAAAATAGTTGATTTCTGTTGTACATGTTTGTTACAGAAAGGACAGTATGAAGTCCCAGACTGGTTATCCCCCCAAAGTGTGGACCTTATCAATGTCATGCTGCAGGTAATACATGATTACAAAGACCACTCTTAGAAAGTGTAAAGTTTACTTCTTAGGATTCATATACACGCTGTCAAATCTGCATACTCAAAGTGTTGCAGAATTAGCCTCTTTTGCAGTGATGAGGAGTTCCTAAGTCCTGAAATATATGATAGATAACCTGCTTACAAAGACAGGTATCCCTGTCTTTCAATGAATCCCAAGAAATGGCCTACTGGTTCTGAAACAGCAAGGCACAAGTACTTCATGTTGTTGTGCCTTTCTCTCCTCTAGGTTAATCCCAAATGCAGAATTAATGTGAAGGAGCTGCTGTGCCACCCTTGGTTGACAGAGGGCCTTGCTGAACCCATCGACTTCAGGACCAAGTACAGTGTAAGCAGACATGCCATACTGCCTGCAGTTTGTCACAAAGCTGACAGAGGGCACCCTTGAGTCATAATGACATAAATGTCATCATGCATCATAACCACTTCCAATGGGTTAATGTACGAGAATGTACCAGAGCAAAGTTTACAAAAAAAAAGTATGAATAACGTTGAATTTTAAGTTTTTGTCTGAATATTTTTCTAAGGTATATGTGTACAGTACTAGAGATAAGTACCACCATAGTCATTAATGTATCAAAATCTATTCTTACTTTAAGTGTTTCAGGATTCTTATGTTTGTCTAATGTCTGTTCCCACACAGAATAACCACATAGATGAGGACTGTATCACAGAGATGTCCATCCACTTCAAAAAGTCCAAAAACACAATGCTTGACATCATCAAAGATGTATGTACACACTAAGTTTCATTCAACATTTTCTCTTAGGAGTAATACATTAGAAATGTACGATGTGTGTTACGTCCATTGTTATCCTGCTTACACTTTCAGTAACACACAAAAATTCGAAATATTTGTCACAAGCAGTACTTTTGTTTTAGAGTATTCATGTTGAGATAATGAAACAGTTTAGCGGTTTTTATTCCTATGTATGTACATGAAGGCTTTTTCATGCTACTCCTAAGCTCTCTAGTAATGGGGAAAACAAATAGGAATCATGTTACATTCTTTGACACAGTGGTCTTCAAAATAGACAACCTGTTCTAAGTCTATATACTGGTGCAACGGCCAAGGCAAGTGGGTAGAGTTTTTGCTGTGCATTCAGTAGGTTGTGAGTTTGACCCCCAACGGAGTCATACCATAGACTTTAAAAGTGGTACATACTGCAAAATCTCTGCTTAGCACTCAGCATTTGGGAAAGAGTATGGAAGTTTAACACACACCACCACCAGTGGACTAACCCTCTGCTATAATGATTGCAAAACTGTGTGGCCCAGGGGCTACAGAACTGAAGATGAATACCACTCTTTGCACCATCAGGTGCTAGAAGGATTTTAACTAATTCTAAATCTCCATGGCTTTGCTTGTTCTGTCTCCAGTGGAAGTACGATGACATCACAGCCACCTACTTTCTCCTGTTGAACAAGAAGAGACGAGGCAAGCCGTGTCGGATCCTGGTGCCTCCTGTCCTGTCCCCGAAACATGCCCCAGATACTCCACTGGCAGACATCACAGATAAAGTAGTAAGTGTTATCATTTACACCTTTTTGCTCTGTTCTGCTTAATCGGTAAACTGCTTTTATGTATTGTGTAACATACCAGTTTTGTACAGTGAGTAAGCACAAGGTGTGTAAGACTGCACTGTAGGTTTTAACCACTCGCACCGGGAAGGACCCCCACTCTTTTCGATACATGCAGTTGGTTCTTGAGTGTGTCACATGTGCCAATTTGGAAACTCCGATTACCGGATTCAAATGTTGAAATTTGTGTTGTTACAATGTTTTTGTCTGGGGACACCAAATTTTCTCAATGTCTATCACATTTCACCCGGAGGCTTGCTAGGCCGGTACCTCAGGTGATGCGGAATACACAGTGTTGCATTCTATATTTACAACATTAAGAAGTAATTTTTTAGAATACAGATGCTCTTATTACACAACCAAGAGTTTTATTCAGCCGACATTTCTGTGACTGTTTGTTACCTTCCTCAGGGCAATTCTGACTGATTCACATTGCACACCACAGGTATTGCTACTGAAAAGTCTCTTTATTCAGTGACTTACCAACCTGATGAAACTACTGTATTCACGGAAGTGATTATTTTGTGTTCAGTCTGGGAACATGGCAGATCTTCCAGACGACATCTTTAACCTGATGGGCCCAAGCACGCCCCTGAAGGACGGCAAGAAGAACAGCAACAAGGAGGACGACTTCATCATCGGGCGCCGAACACGCAAGGAGAGAGAACCCGAGGAAGACTCAGACATCTCACCGCCTGAGGAGAAGAAAAAGAAGAAAGATGACGACTACATGTTTGTGAGACCGGACCCCATGTACTCGTCTGGAAGGTACCGCAGGGGGGGTACCCCCGCTAAACAGGCCAAGGTGGCAACAGGGGTAGCCAAAAATACAACCCCCCTGAAGAACAGGTTGGTGATGGAAAGTCATTCCCCTTTTTTTCAGTTTTTTATTAACAGATTTAAAAGCTATGTCACGTTTGAAGGTAGCTACAGTGACTGTAGACTGTAGTGTCCAACACAAAAAATGGAAATTTTTTGACTGCTCACTTCTTGACAAAGATTGGAGCTGAACAGTCAAAAATTCTGGTGATTACAGTTCAAACATGTTTCAGAATGACATCTACCAACACAGATGATCATCTGTTGATGACTTTAAACGAAACTTCTGTAAATATCTGTAACTTTCCTTCTATTCTACTTTTTGTATATTGAATGGTCCTGTATGGTTTTCTTCCAGGAGGAGGTCCAAGACTCCGCCCCCTATTCCTGTGTGCAGGGCAACCCCGCCAATCAAACTCATGCAGCCAATCAAACAGGAGGATGGAGGTATGAGTCTAACACAAGCCTTTCATTGGTCATTATTGTTTAGAACTTTCAGCTCTTGTTTGTAAATCACTGATGGGTACATATTATCACATTTACTTTATTCTATGAAAAGAACACATGTTATAGATTAAATGTACTTTATTGTCTTACCTATAGTTTTCTATCTTTTCTATACAGATTCTGTCTTTTTTAGGGATTATGATTTACAATGTTGATGAAAGCTGTCATTTATAAAGTGTTATAACTTATATTTGACAATTTGTCCAGGTGCAGTCCCAAGATCTGTTGATGACAACTTGTGTGGCCTTGGTACCTTCAGTCCTGAGAGGAGGTGGGCTTGTGTAGTATATAACCTAGCTTATTATGTTTGGTGTAACATGGATTGCAATATACATGCAGCATGTAAACTGTCTTTTTGTCTGTCCCCACTTTTTGAAACACCAGCCGTTTCTTTCATTTGGATCGATTTTGTGTACATATAGCAGAAGCACTTACAACTTCTAAAACATGGTAGATAGCATTTCGGTTTGCAAACAATCTCTACACTTAGAGCATATTCTACACTTAGAGTATTATCTTATTGAAAACTTGATACAATGTCAACCTTGTGAATTCTGTCATTCATATGCTCAGAACTCCATCTGTGGATCGTCATATCGACATGGCCAACCTGATAGCGTCCTCGGAGAAGCGGCGTATGCCTGGCTCTGCCAAGAAAGTGTTCGGCAGCATTGAGAAGAGACTGGACAGGATGATCGGCCTGCTCACACCCAGCAAGAGGAAAGGTTCGGTGGCTGAGGAGCCCAGGCAACTCAAGGTGGGACTGCATCTATTGGATGGGAAAATGTTTAAAAAGACTTTTGATATTCAAATCTGTGAAACATCTACATTTGGCTGAAATGCTCTTGTCTGTAGATCATCATCAACATGTAGATCTATCTTACTGATTTTCAGCCCATTTGGTATGTCCTTTTTTCTAGTGCTTTCCTACACTTTGTCGCAATGGTTATTCCTTTTTTGATCCTCATAGCTATCTCTCTCTTTCTCTCTACCTCCTTACCTTCCTCCCTTCTTCCCACCCCTTTCTCCCTTTTGCTATACATACATTCAGTATTCGCTTTTCTCTTTCCCTCTCTCCTTCTTTCCCTCCCCACTTTCCTCGCTTCTCTCCCTCTCCTCTCCCTTTCTCTCTATCTCACTCATTTATTCGATATTCAAATAGTACAGATTCAGGGCATGAAAAGGACACTTGAATATAGCTGCATCATTTCCAAAGAATACAGGTACAATGTGAGATTTTTTCCTGAGAAATGCCCAGTCTTAGTTGTTAACTGTACAAATGTGTACATGTGTGTGTCAGACTGTGTTAGCTGAGGGCATGGAAGGTACCCTGGACAAGATGAAGGAACTGAAGGAGCTGGTGACTCCTGACAAGTGGAAGTTTTCCTCTACCTCCTCTGAGGAGGGACCCAGGAAACTCAGGGTGACGTACCCGAGTCTTGTAGAACAGTCCCAGGACAGGGATGTCTCCATTGTCCATCACAAACAAACAAACAAACAAAGAAAGAGCTTAGGACAGGTCCTTTGGAAACGGATTGGTTGTATCAAAATCTGGCCAAAAGACCGATATGGGCAAGGGCTGTCAACATGCCAATTTTTGAGTACAGTACTACATGTACATGTAAAAGTCTAAAAAAAGATACATGAAGAAAGGGTATTGTGAAAGTCTGGAGACATCCCTGTCTGAAAATTTGCACACAGGTTTAAGGTGGAAGAGCATGCTGTAAAGCTTGCTGGTGCTAACAGCATGCTGACAAACATTTACAACTGGGCTCCAGGGTGCTTACGTGGTAAATAACATTGTCTATTTTCATTTTCAGCCCCTTGAAGTAAGGCACTGTCTTAAACAGAATATGATGTGCATGTTCTGGTGTAAGGAATTGTCAACCTACAGTGAAGGAATCTTTTGATTGTCCTTGTTTTTTTTTTTAAACAGACTGCTATCTCAGTTCCATGGACCTGTACCTTAACACAATTTCTTCAGGTACACATCTCTACCTATTGTGGAACTGAGTTATGAAAGAGTTAAGACTTTTTGCCGTTAATCTGTAACCTCTGTGTTTCCCCATAGAAAGGAGACTTGGACCTGCTGAGTGTGAAGATCACGTCCAGTCTCAGTGCAGAACACATCGTGACAGAACTCTCACAGGAGGCTCGCAAGAAGTACATGCTGTGCAAGGAGAAGGGGTAAGTTGGAAACGGTGTATTGTTACTAAATTGGTGAACTGAACTGGTGAACTGTACAAAGTTTGACCTAACTGGGGAAGTTTAGATCCTACCTGTTCCTTTTAACCCCAAAAGTCTACAAATTAGACCAAAATTTTCAACGAAAAGAAGGATTTTAAGAAGGTACTACAATTGTATTCCCATTTTTGGCCTACTCTGCTATGGGTATTGTGACTGTGACGTCAGCTCTTCAACAGACAAGAGTGCCATAGAAAAGGTTGTTTTTGTCACATGAACTTGACATACAACTCCCCACATGTTCCTCTGATGATATCTGGCTGTCAAATTAGTGACAAGCGGCTCTACGATGGAATCTTTGCTTTTAATAACTGGGAATCAGGACAATCATTTCCGCTGTACTGGTCGTGTGATTGTCGCTGGCGGGGGGAGCGCCGCGGCGTCTGTCAGGCTGCCAGACAGGCGTTACCTGTACCTGCGCGTCCTTCAAACCTTAGATACTTATGGCACTTCAGTCGGTAAGATTGTGAAAAAGTGTGCGAGAAGAAAGCAGCTTTTACTTCCATTGTGGAAAAAAAGCAAAATTTGTTTTCAAGTCTTTCCCTGTAATTTAGGCGAAATGAAAGTAAGAAAAGAAAAAGAAATCAGGCATTTCAGTCTTCTGGGAAGTGTTTTGGGTTTTTGTGGAGCTTTTGGGACTGTAATGTATGGTAATGGAGAAATACCTGATTGAATTACAAATTTGATTATTACTCATAGTATATAGGACAATATGATTGTATTACACCATGGTTTACAATGTACACACCATAGCATACTGGGTCAAAACCTGTCAAGCACAACAAACGCTATCTCTACCCACCCACTTCCAATCCTTGCTGTTGATGATAAAATACATACAAACTCAACCTACACCATCACCGCCCAAAACAATACTTCCATCCCGGAAATAATTACTGCATAGCAAGAACAAACTGATCCCCATCTAAACTGTTGAATGTGGATGCTGCAGCTGGGGGTTTTGTGTTGCCTGGTTGGCTGTTGGTCCAGGTTTACAGATGATCCAAAGTGAAATGTTCCCTTTGGCATCTATTGCGTACATTCTTCAGCAGTTCAAAGAACCATTACCTGGTTGGCTGCACCTGAGCCTTGTCCAGGCAGAGCAGTAATGTTTTCTCCTCGGGGTGACTGTCTTTAGCTTCATCATCTGCATGGGTTTTTAAAGATACGTAGGGCTTGAAAATGAAATGCCACCTACCAGTGTTCTAGCCAGCATCTTTCTGTCATTTGATGCTCAATAAGAACAAGATTTTCCCAATCTGTAATTTTTGATGGACAAAATCGGTGTGCACATATATGGAAAGAGATGTCATTAAACTAAGCTTAGCCTAGCAGCAAAATTCGCCCCTCAAAGTCAAAATGCAGAAAATGGCATTTCAGAGGTTCAAGATTGCAAAATTTTCCTGGGTAGCATGCCCCAGGACCCCCCATGATTGTTGCACTTAGGTGCTTGACATGATGTTACATCAAACAAAATTGAGATGATGAAAAAAATTCAGTCATTGTTGACCTGAAGAAGGTGACAGACAGTCAACAACATGTTGGACTTGAACTGGTCACTGTTGAATAAACAACCTTCTCATACAGTTTACCCGATGAAATTATTCACAGATAAATTTTCTTGTTGCCAAGACTTCATATCTTTTCCTAAACACCAAACTGCTAACATCATCGAATCATCAGATAGTGCATCAAATGGTTGGCCGGCTGCGCCGATAATTGTGAGAAACCGAATGAGTCTTTAGAGAGACGGAGAGAGATTAAAGGTACAGCGGTATAGATCAGCGCCGGGAAGTTGTCAATAGTACCCGCAGCGAATCAATGACAGCACATTGTGCTCCACGGCATAAGCATTATTGTAACGGAAGTTTTGAGGTTAATTTAGGGCAGAGTGGTACACTGGTATTAATTACGGGGGCTTTGGGAAAGTGGGCAGAAAACTATCAGTTCCAGTCCTTAGTCATGATCATGAATTATCAATTGGGTAAGACATTGTAGTGGCTATAGGCTGTAGAAGGTAACACGAGGACTGGGCATTTTAGTACTGAAAGTAAATAGTACAGAATTAACGAAAATCATAGTCCTGACATATCTAGATCAGGAGATGTCAAAACTGGAAGTTCTGCTGCAGTACCGAGGAAAGCTGACCAAAAAATCTAAATTACTAATCATTTCTTAGTTAGGTGAAGACCTACCCACCTACCAAAGTTTTAGAGTACAGTACAGTATTGACAATTCATTTATAAGTTCTTAAGTTGTCAAAACCACATACACACAGTGCTACCAAACACAGCCTTGAAAAATGTGCCCTCGATTACCAACATTGTTAGGGAAAAGCTGGTTAGAAAAGGTAGGAAGGCTGCTGAAGTCTTTGTAGGTCTTTTGTTATTGAGAGGAAGTGTTGATCTATCAAAGAAAGTGTTTCAGGCACAGGAGCTGATTGGACCAACTATTCCCATTGAAAATAGATAGGACAAAAGAGATTACAGGTGGAATGGGGGAACCTTACATTGAGCCTTTAGCAAAGTTCATCCTATCGAAGAGAGTAATGATTATGCTGAGATTCCCCTTGATATTGGTGAGGTGTTCTTGGCAAAGTATTCTCTTCAAAGTGGTGGTCTCATTCTGTGTGTTCCTTTGTTGCTATCATTGCAGAGACCAAGGCCAATGGCAATTTGCATAACCGTTTATATATCATAGGATTTTAGAGGATTTGGCCACAAGTGCCTGTTTAGAACATAGCACAACTGAATCTCTTCTGAACCTGTTCTTTTATTTGAAATAACTGGTTAACTATCTATAGACGTGATACAAACATTTTGTACAGTAAGTACAAGCTGGATAAGACCAGACTGTAAGTTTGAACAACTCACACCGGGAAGGACCTCGTAACTCTTTTCAATAAGTGCAGTGGGATCTTTGAATTGTTGAGGTGTGAATTTCCTGAAACATGGGACCTTTAGCTTTACATCACATTCAAGAGAACATCCCTAACTGAAGCCAGGAACTTGTTTGCACCTGGGTCAAGAGAGGAAATAGGTCTTATAAGTGTCTTTCCCAAAGGCCCAACATTGGGGTCTTCTAGGGATTCGAACCCAGAACCTTTAAAATCCCAGTCAACAACCCTAACCACAAGACGACCTCGCACACTTCACCTGTTCTTGGCACAGTTGAACCAGTGATGGACATCTGGATACCTAAGTAGACTGTGTACCACCGACTTCTCACAGTGTCTCCTTAATGAGCACTTACCCACTTGCTTAATGTACCACTGGGTCTTGAAGAAAGACAAGTCAAACAGCTTGATCAATCACAGTAAGGGTGTAGAACAGGAAGACAGAGCACCCGTCGGATGAGTGGCCTCCAGGGAGGACCTGTGGATTAGAACAGGCATCATCACGGCAGGCTCATTGGGTGTGTGTAGTCTGGATAATCACCCTCCAATTACTACCTGGGAAGCCATGAAGTGTGTGGAGTGAGGAGAGGGCATTACCTCTACTCCGGCCATGGAAGTGTCCACTTCTGTGTCCAGTTCACCACTTTTAGTTAACAGGGCTCAAAAGACCACCTGTATATGTACATGCAAATTAGTGCAGGTAAAATTGTCTCTCTGTAGAATAGGTGTTTCTGATGTCTATCTGCACCTAACCTGTATTAGTCCATTTACACCATCTACATGTACGAGAAAAGAAATAATGGTATCTGAACAGTTTTTGGTATGATCACACCTCACAAGTTCTGAGTGGTGCATGTAAAATTTGTCTGGTTAAGGTTATTTTCAATATTTACCTGTAACAGTGTAGGGATGCAGAAAAAAAGTATTTTGAACCCTGCATAGCCTTATAGTTTCATTTCTTTGTTGTTCACGAGACACCAGTCATTCAAAGAACTGTAGATGGCCAGGGTACATTGTTCTTCCCAATATATACAATACACACATAGATGTACAATGTACTAGGTACATGTATTTATATTTATTGAAGTAGCAAGATTTCAGGGGATAACTACTTTCACTACTACCACATAACAACAGCTTACTTTTTTTTCTGACTCGATTATTCATCACCCTTTGAAAGAACTCAGGCAATGCCAATATCAACTGATACATGGATAGATTGGATCAAACCAGCTCATTAATACCAACTGTTGTAAACAGTGCAGCTGCTTAGACTGCCATTAGCCTAAATCTGTAGTCAAGTGAGCATCAATCCAGCCTGTCCTATTGTTGAAGAGGGTATGCATGGGGGGATCCTGGCAATACTTAACAATAAATTAGAAGGGCCAGGGAAAAAATTAATACAAGCTGGCAACACTCAAAGTTTTTTTGTATTAAGGTTCTTCAGAATGTTCTGTTGTATTCATGGGAGGCAAAACTTGTCTGCAGACCTTGGACACATGGACCTTTGGACTACACAATACAAAGAATTTTTCAACATCACTTAACGATAAACAAGGATAACAAAGTGCTATGTGGGATTTAAGCGACCAATTGTGCTTTGCGAAGAATTTTGTGACATTGCTTACCATTAAATTTAAGCAGCCGGCTACAATTAATGGTGAATTAAAATGGCTTGCTACGACACCCGGAAAAAGGCCATGCAGACCCTCATTGAACTCCAGTAAGAAGTTACAGCCCCTCTCAGATCAAATGGGTTCTTGATACCGCCATGCTGATGATACAGATGACTCTATATCACCCGTCTGCCACTGCCAGTCATTCCCAGCATCTATAACCTTCCCGCACTCTTTTATGGCACTTGCAATGATAGATATCAGCCAGTTCTTCCGCATGTTCAATATTCTATCTGACTTGAGATTACCGGATAGATGTTCATCTTTAGTAAAGATACAGACAATTAGCCAGGTAATAATCAATTTCATCCTAGATTTTTATGAGTCAGGATATGTCTCTCTTTGTTAGTCAGCCGTAATTTGATGGCTTC